CTGAAAGACATCTTCTGCCTCCATTTATCTGTTTACTACAGTCTGTTGGATTCATGTTCATGTGGATTTAAAGACATTTCAGTTAGTAGATAAAAATGCAGCGGGGAATATAAAAACAGTCTAGAACTAAATCAACTAAAGTAACATTAGCATGGAGCACCGGGTCACACCGGCAGTGGGTGGGAGAGGATGGACTCCATCCTAGCTGCAGATTCAGACCATCCAGGACTCCCACCCCCCCACAGCTGACACGCGGCTCCTCCCGTGGACTCGCTCATCAACAGCAGCCTGATATAAACGGCAGACGGACTGAAGCAGCTTCGTTCAAGCCGCAGCACCGGAATCAGCAGCTAGCTAATGAAGCGCGCGGGCTGCTGAAGCCTGACAGGCTGGACCAGAGGTCCAGGTTCGGTTCGGTTCGGAACCTTCCAGCAGTGATGGCCGCTGCTCTCCTCTGTGGATGGAACCATTTTCCAGCAGAAACCCGCCCAGCTTTAGGCGTTTTCACTCACCTGTTTGCTTCTCTCGGACAGACGTCGCCATGTTTTCTGTTGATAGTGATGACGGAACCATTGACGTGGCAGTCGCGCGGTCCGACGTTATCCTACATCAGAGACTAGTGATATGAAGGAGGTATCACTCGTTGTATTTTCCTGGAAACCAGATGGAAACGTATAAATCTAAATTATACACAATTTAGCAGACAAGTATGGAAGCCCGTTTAAGCCACATGAAAGTTAAAAAAAAAATCCAAATAGAAACTCATAATTATTAGATACAAAGTCATTACTATGAGATACAAAGTCTTAATTTTGACTTTCAAAGCCATATTTATTATATTCGACTTTCAAATTTTGTATTGTGGAAGCTCATTGGTAGAATTCTCTTATGACACAATTATGACTTTCTATTTGGCATTTTAATAACTTTGACATGGCAGAAACAGGCTTCCATAGAATGACTGCAGCATGGAGGGACCAGCCTCTGGTTCTGCTGGGCTGTTCAGGAAACCCGGGTTCCTTTAAAGGCCTTTAGCTTCTCTGAATTCTGGGTTTTATTATCTTCATCTTGTTTATATCTGCTGTGTGGGTCAAAGGTCATCAGGATGCCGGGATAATAGAATCATTCTTTTGTTTGGTCTGGTTTCTTTAAATAAAGTTAAATTCATAGGAGTTTATAATTAAAGTTATATTTAGTTGCCTTGAGTGATTTAATATGAACCTGTAAAAGAAATTATACTATTCACCATGGGTGGTTCTAGACAGGGGCCAACGGGGGCCAGAGTCCCTGTACTGATGACATAATACTCAAGGAAATTTTAACTATGATCTGCGCTGGAACAGCCATGGTTACTGATTGGTCCTTTGGATCCATTTCATTGTTTTTTCTTCACAAATCTGTTTTTACTAATAGCTTCAGTGGGATTGAGATAGGATACCAGTTTTCATTTGCTAAATGTTTTTTTTCCCCCAAAACAAATAAAAAATATATAATTTTTACAGCTGAATTTATCAGTTTTTCTGGGGTTCTTATTCATTTTCTTTTTTTTTTTGAAAAATGGTAATTTTAACTTAAATTAAGTCAAAAATATGTAAAATTCCTAAATTCTGAATGTATATTGACCTAATAAGGCATACAATTTTAATTAAACCTAATTGAATAGAAATTTAACTTCATGTAGCTCTCTTAATATATTTGAATCCCTTGCGCTGTTTTTTATTTCATGCTTTTCTGTTCCCCCATGAAGACACACTGGCCCCCTCCTGGCCCCCTGGGACATTTGGTCTAGAACCGCCACTGGTTCCATCTGAAATAAATGAAAATACTCTTTATATGGTTATTGAGTTGGTTATGCAGGTTCTGCAGCAGCTTCTTCCCCGCCGCATCAGACTGCTGACCTGTTGAGAAAACTCTAAATCTCAGACTCTGCTTCACACTGATGACACCAAACCAAAACACTGCATAACTGCACCGTATATATTAATGCTCTGAACTTATATCAATACGTTCTTTTGCACCATGTTTTTTCCCCCACATTTCACATATAATCACTGCTGCACTTTAAGAAATGGAAATTTGATGTAAGCTGTGCAAAACGAACTAAAAGTTTGCTAAGTCTATACATGGCGGGTTTGTTTATTGACAGGTTTTATGGGTCCCTGTGTGAATGGGTTTAGCTGTAATTGAAGCTCAGATTCCAATATCTCTGCAGTGTGGGGACTAAGCTCCAGGAACATTTTAGTAGCACCCAGATTAGTGAGAAGTTCGGCATCTATTCTTTGCCTGCTTTGTGTGTCAACTCCCATGGTTGCTAGGCGACAGAGCATAGGGGTGGAAAAGCTGGACCTGTTTAAATCCACAGCCAAACTCTTCAGGTCTCCTTATTTTCACAGACCTCGGAGGAACCAGCCCAGGTAGACCAGGTCCTTGGAGGAAGCAACCTCTGAAATCGAACAAACCGCAGACAACTCTGCTTTTCTCAACACCAGTAGCATGATGGGTAGCTCAAGTAGCATGTCACTTGACTTTACACACAGGAGGCCCTGGTTCGAATCCCTGCGGGGGAGAATGAGCTACTAGCTTAGGCAAGACCCTTCACGCTTATAAATCGCTGTGGATAAAAGCATCTGCTATATCCATAAAGATTAAAAGTAAAGTGCTGACGTTAGACCACAGACTGGGATGACGGCCTGTTTCAGCAGGACGATGACCCAAAGCATGCAGCCTGGACTGGAATGTCCTGGAGCTGAAGTCCAGACCTGAACATCTGCAGAGATTCAGTTTATTTCTATAGCTCCATCTCAGGTCAATTTATAGAAATAAAACAACCAGATCATCCAGTCAGATTGATTCAAAGTTTTCTATCTAAGGAAAACCAGCTGATTGCATCGACTCATTGACTCTTCAGCAATCCCTCACACTAAGCATGCTTGTAGCGACAGTGGAGAGGAAAAACTCCCTTTTAACAGGAAGAAACCTCCAGCAGAACCAGGCTCAGTGTGAGCGGCCATCTGCTGAGGCCCACTGGGGTTCAGACTGATTTCCTATATTTTCCCTCTACATGAGCTCATTGCTGTTACGAACAGCCTCAGTTTTAGTTTAATGTATTTTAAAGCCAGAAAGTGGCTTCTTAGAAAGGTCTGTGTGTGATGTGAAGGAGCATCATGATTTTAGCCAGGAGGTTGACTGTCTGCATGGCAGCCATTGGAACAAAGCTGCAGACGGTTGCCACCTGATGGAGGCTGAGATGTTCTGCAAAGCGACCTAAAGATGGTGAACTTCAGCTGGAGGATTCCTTCAGAAAGACAGGAGGCTGGAACTGCTGCCAAACGCTGGAAACATTCTCTTAAAATTCAAATACTTTATTCATCCCAAGGGCAGAGTAAATGTTGCAGTAACTCTAGTTTCTAAACAGGTGATGATAGCTGGATGCAGGAAGGATCTGCAGCTGTCTGTCCTACAGTGGGTCTGGAGAAGCCTCTGACTCAAGACACTCAGCTGTTTAAAGATCTTCTGAATAAGATGCTCACTGTTGCCCATCATCCTTTCCTTCTTTGTGAAATCCAGGTCCAGGTGAACACCAAAGGATTTCTACTCCACTTCTGCTCCCAGGATGTTAACAGGATTCAACTTGTTCCTGTTTCTTCTGAAATCTTGAATGATGTTGTTTTGTTGACCTTCAGGATCAGATGATTGTTTCCAGACCATCCCACAAAGCGCTTCAGCAGCTCTCTGTCCTCAGCTTCTGCTCCATCTTTGATGCTCCCAATGTCTGCAGTCTTCCTCCTGTGTTCAGAGCGTTTTCTCCTCTCTCTCCCGCTGCTCTCCAGTCCACCTCTCGGTGAAACATCATGGATCTGCTCTTTGTGACATGATGATGTTATTTTGGGTCATTCCATAAAAGTTTAAAAAACAATCCACTGGCCTTTGTTTCCAGTCGATAGTTTTTTAAGCTTTTCCAGAATGACTATGACCTGGATGAGAATCTTCAGCAGTTATTTGGGCTCGTTATTCACTGCCTACAGAGTCGCTACGAGGATGAGAAGAGATCCCGGATATGGCAAGCAGTATTAACATATATTCACAGCAGCACTCAGTGAATTTTAACCGGCAGCTACTCCGATATGTTTAAGTAAAAGTTAGGAGACTAGTTGGTTAAAAAAAATGAGAGATTCCATGAAAAATCTGTTTCGTTACATGTGGAGCTTTTTCAGCTAAAAATGGCAACAGATTGTAGATTTATCCCAGTTAAAAAAGCTGGGCTCCTCAGGACCATTAGTCAGAGTTCCAGATTAAAATGAACACAGATCTTTTCTAATGAACAGAGAATCAGACTGCAGAGCTTCTAGACATCCTGAAAATGATTTTCTCTGGCGTCATTATATTGGTGGACAGGTTATAAATCTGTTTTTAAGTTTATCTCAAAGCTACACCCTGACTCCTGGATCAGCCAGCTGAGCCTTCAGTCTAACAAACTGGTCCGTCCGTCTGTCAGCGAGTCTTTAGTTCAGGTGGTTGTTGATATTTCCACCCGGGTCTGCTGGAGTTCATTTTTAAATCTTTTTCCATATTTCATGATGTGTAGCATTTAGAGGGAAGCTGATTTAAACTATCTGGAGCTTCATGATATGTGATGCTGTGAAAACTGGCACTGAGAGTCAGAGAGCTCACCCACTGGTCATCAGGCCCTTTGGCCCAAATATGATCAACCAATAAAAACCAACCCAGAAACATGACGGCAAGAAGCTGAGCAAGAATCAAAGTTTTAAAAAAAATAACAACATAAACAGGAAGGAACTAACAGCTAAAGTCAGAGCGACGGTATAAAGTCAGCACTGTACAAATAATAACCGGTACAGACAGAAGAAACAAAAAAACGAATAAAGGACTCAGAGGTGAAGCTGCAAAGATCCAGATGTTTACAGTTCACTGGTTTTGGTCCAGTTCTCTGCTCATCCAGGAACAACAATGCCATTAAAACCATTAAAACCATTCAGACATTTCCCTCTGATCAGGAACACGCCTGGTTGAACTCAGAGGGAACAAATAAAACCAGTTCACATTTCAATTTTTAAACCTAGTCTAGTTTTAACAGAAAATGAATCAAAGCTGTTTTTCAGATGAGTGTCAGCGGAGAGAGGCCAGAAAACCTTCCTGCTCACAACGGAAACGTTTTCAAACTAAGAACTTGGAGAAAGATTGTAAAGATGGAAACTTTCTTTCTGATCTGAGCCTCCATGTGGTTTCACTCACCTTCTGACACCCTGAAGAAAACATTAACTGACTTCAGGAAACAAGACGGTACAAGAAACAAAACAAAAGAACTTCATAACGATGGAGGATGTTAGAAAAAGCAAAGGCGCTGTGCCGTCTAGGCGTCCAAAGGGAAGAGGTGGATGTGATGGCTGATGGCGTGCTCCATGGAGCATTTAAAAGCCTTGTAGGTGGAGGTAACGGGCAGCAGGAGCTTGTTGGACGTTGGTTTGCTCTGAGGGAAGAGCCCTTCATCCAACCACTGCTCTACTCCCTCCCTCTGCTCCTTCAACCCCACCTGGTAGGGGGCTGGACGGTGGAGGAAGGAAATGGAGGGCGGCGGGAAGAGGCCGGCTGCTGGTAGCTTGTTGGCGCCGGTGGCAAAGCGGAGGACGTCCTCAAGGGAGACGGAGCTCCTTCCAACTGAGGAGACAGGATAAAGGTGGTGCTCATGGTGTCTGAGCAGAGCTTCATATGAATACAACAGGATCCGCATCCTACCCTCACACTCCAGCAGAAGGTGTCTCCAGAAGGTGACCACCGGCGTCTCCAGGTTCAGTTTGTCCTCCTGCTCCGAGAAGCTGACGGTGAAGAGCTGGCTGAGCGTTTCTGCCGTGAGCGGCTCTGCAGCCTCACAGAAAACACCGAAGAAGACGGACGGGATGAGCTGGACCTAAATCAGAGCAGAAGGTTCACTTTTTCAGCTCCGCTCTTTAACTGAACAGCCTGCAGCGAGAAACTCACCTGATCAAAAACGCCCAACGTGTGCAGACCTTCCCGCAACCTGCAGGCGCAAAATAACATTTAGCTAAGTCCAACGGGGACGGCGGGAATGAGTGATTAGAGAAGGAACTAGGAACACGTCAACAGATCATAAGAACAGGTTTTCACCAACGACAGGCGGCTTAGAGTCCTGCAGCGGGTCGGGGACCCGCGGGTCAGGTCCCCGACCCGCTGCAGGACTCTAGGCTGGCTGTAAAATCTGAGCTTCAGGAAACATCTCTGTGAATCCCGGATAACTCTGGTTATAGCGATTTTTTAAATCTCTGATCCGATTTTTTCCCATTTCACCCTGACTGCATATAGAGAGGCTCCGACTAGGAGCAGATCTGAGCAGATTTTATTCATTTCTGTCTCTGAGTTATAAACACGTTACAACAATTTCCCACATTTGACTGGAACAGATTATAAAAAGTTATCAATAATTCTATAAAGCAAAGCCTCACTTAACGAGTCTGACCAGCATCTAGAACCAGAACAGATAGAAAATGTTCACCTACTAAAACATTATGAGATCTACGTCTGAAGAAAGAAAAACGCAGCAATAGATGGCGTGGGACGGTTTCCATGGTGACTGAGGCAGAGAGAGATGCGCTGCGCTGACCTGCTCTGTCTGCGCCTCCATATTCTGGTTTCTGTCGTCAAAGAGGATCTTTATCCGTTTTCTGTCCTCCTGAACCATCATGGGGAAAGTTTCCATTTTAATGTTTCATTCATTGTTTTTGCTCCAGTCTTACGATAAACGCGAAGTGTGACTCAGATCTGACTCTTTCCTGTGAGATTAACAGATTTTATTTTCCCCCAAAGCGGATTTGTTTTAGCTACGCTGCCCCCTGCATGAAATCAATGGCCGCTAAACGCCCCACCCCCCCGACATGATGTTCTGTAGCATTGGGTGCGTTCTGGCCTTTGGTCTATAGCTTCACTTCCTTCTGTGGGTTTTATCTGAGAGCCTCAGTACTTATATCTGTTCATATTAGTTCTGATGTTCCTATTTGGTTTCTTTATTGGACTTTCTATGTTGCTAACTGCTCTGTTAGCAGATTTTAAAGGTTAGCTATTGAACTCTTCATTTAGTAGCAGATTCTTATATTAGTGGATAAAGTGTGTTCTTGTTACTGTGGATAATAAGCAGGGTTATTTATAGCTGTTTATTACTGTTATAGTTGAAGTTATTATCCTGACTGCATTTATTCATTTATCTCTTTGTTTATCAAATACCCGTTTATTCTCTGATGACCTGCTGTTTGGAAATAAAGTCTAATGAAGGATTCTTTCCTGGTTTCTGCATGGTACCCCAACCACCTGATGCTCACCTCTGCAGCGGCAGCTGCATCCTGGTGATCATGGTGAAGTTGACCAGGTCTTCCACCAGAGCCTCCCTGTCTTCCAGGCTGGTAACCAGTCTGTTGCAGCCAGCCAGCTCCAGGTACTCCCAGCTCCTCCTCGTGGCTTCCTTCAGCTCATCTAAAGTCTGGGCGGCAGCGATCTAGATGGGCCAATACCACGCAGTCATTCTGGGAAATCAGCAGGTTCGACCTTGGAGGTAGCAGAACCCGCCCTACACTCACCTGATGGACCTGCTGGGTGAAGTGTGTGTTGGGGGTCATGTGGTTCAGAGTTAGGGGGCGGTTGGCTGGGTAGTTGAACAGACACTGATAGAGGGCGTGGGAGAAGAAGCCAATGGGCGGACCGCCGTGGACCAGACAGAGAGCCAGCAAGGAGCCGATGTCAAAGTACAGATCTTCCCGCAGGGCTGGAGAACAGAGAGAGGAACACGGCCTGTCAGGCTGCTACCACAGACACGGAGAGGAGCAACGATTGTGCATTTGGTTTGAGCGTGCAGGCACCAATCCGAGCGCGGAGTGAGGCAGGTATTCAGCCTTCAAACATCAGACATGCGTGAGCTCAGAACCTGTCCTCGCGCTCAACCCACTGTCCTCGCGCTCAGTTCCACCTCTGCGTTCAACTCCAGCCGTGTGCTCGACTCTGGCTGTCCTGACATCCGCCCTAACCCCTAAATCTCTCCATCACCATATAGAGCGGGACTTTATAGTGAACTTTATAGTGAACATAGGTAACAGACAGTTCAGACCGATGATCACTGCACTGTGAGCATAAATATTAGGCAAATTAGTATTTCCACCACACGTCGGCCCTTCGGCCGCAGCCGGGGCCAACGTCGGCCCTTCAGCCGCAGCCGGGGCCAACGTCGGTCTGTCCGCGATATCCGGGGCCAACGTCGGTCCGTCTGCGATATCCGGGGCCAACGTCGGTCCGTCTGCGGCAGCCGGGGCCAACGTTGGCCGGTCTGTGTCCGTTTAATGGAAATCTCCCACTTGGGCAGTTTTTCCTCTAGGGCTGCGTCCGAACGTCCGCCCTCATCACATCTGTCAGTGATTAAAGCATTTTAGATGAGTGTCCGAATGTAAAGTGGATGAAAAAGTAGTGGACTCAAAATTTCTCACAAATTGCAGCTTAAGAAGTAGTGATCATCAATGTTCACCAGACGAGCAGATATATCCTAGATTGGGATATTTCTGGGATTTGTTGTAGCGACGACTACAAAAGATGGTGCAGGCACCGTGCGGGGAGGCGGAGCCACATGACCAACAGGGAATGAAAAGTAGTGATCATCTGTCAGTTGAATGAGTTCACTATATAGTTCACCATATAGTCCCTGCTCTATGTAGTGATGGAGGGGTTTAGGGCGGACGTTCGGACACAGGCAAAGGTTCTTCTTTAAACTGGATTTAGTATTTGGAACGAATGCTTTAATTGGATGAAAAACCCAGAGTGTGATTGGCTGATGGTGTGGTTCATTTACAGACATTGATGAAGTTGGGAGCAGCCGAGCGCACAGCTGGCATTGAGTGCGAGTAAAGATGAAACCTAGCAAGAGGACAGTAGGTTGAGGACAGCGCTTTAACCAATGGCACAGTGGTTACACCGCAGACACCGAGAGGCGGTGGGATCGATCTGACACCAGCTGGCTTCTGCTCACCCTGGGAGTCCAGCGCCAGATTCTTGGAACTGCTCGGACCCTCAAACACAACCGAGTTCTGGATCTGCTCCATCAGCAGCTTCAGGAAGTGCTTCCTGTCTGCTTCTCCGTCGCAGGCAGTGCTGGGGGGGGCGGTGGACTGCAGGTCTGTGAAGCTGGACAGACAGCTGACAGTTGAAGAGCAGAAACAGGGGAAAGCATCAGAGCTGAGAACGGAACCTACCAGACGGACAGCGAATGCATTGGGTCAAAGTCGGCCCTTCGGACCAGCTCCAGACCCGCCGACAGCGCCTGGTCTCCGTGAACCTCCACCTGGGTGCTGACGGGGTATTGGTGAGGAAGCAGAGACTGGAGCAACTCCTCAGCAGATTCAGGTCTTACCGGTGTGCACGGTCTGACAAAGGGAAGGATGAAAGCATGAACAGAGGATCCTCCTGGTGGAGAAAGAAGCGTTTCCTCTGCTTACCTTTTACAGCCAATAGGAGACGGCATGGGAGACAGGTGGCGCTTGGACAGCAGGCTTCTCTTCTGGCCGCCCTGAGGCGAGGCTACCAGAGATGCTGCAGTAGAGAACAACATGAGCTGGATGATCTAACCACAAACAGACCAGATACCTGCCAGGTCAGACCTTTCCCATCCGTGGCATTGATGCAGTCGCTGCAGGCCCAGTCTCTGGTGTCCACCTGCAGCCCAGAACATTTGCGGTGAGTTCCTCTGGATCCACACAGGCAGCACCGGATCACCTCGAACCACCTGAAACCACCAGGAGATATTTCACACGTCAGAAGGAAACATTTACATGCAGAGGTGTCAAAAGTATTCATTACTCCAGTAAAACTATAAATCCTGCTGTTTAAAAACATGTTTGTAAAAGTTAAAGGATCAACTGCAGATTTTCACTCCAGTAAAAACTTGAAGTAAAATACAAAAGTAATGCAGGAAAACTTGTTAAGGACAGAAGTTTTACTGCACTGCCCTTTTAAAGGAACATTTTCTAGAATTCTGGATGATTTCTTCCTTTGATTTAAGGATATTCTGGAGGGTTTTTGCAAATTTATTACGAAAAAAGACCCACCTTCTCCACTTGAAAAATCCTCAGCTCTAAAGCTTTTAGATTTTTCTATGAGTTCAAAATTACTTTTAATTAAAATTTCTGTGAGTGTTTTTGCTTTAGGGCCTTTATTGATACACACTGCTGATCATAAAGGGGCTTTCTCCTTTAAGAAGGGTTCATTCTGGCTCCATTTCATCCAATCAACTAATATTTAGTAGTGATATTTTTCTTCTGATTACAGCCAATAGGAGACGTGATTTTTTCAGTTAAATCTTTTAAAAACTGCACATAATTAGTTATCTAAAAATCCCTCATAGCCATAGGCATTAAAGGTATAGTGGAAGATTTTAGCGAATTTTTGAAAAGACTCCTCCCCTTTAAAAAAACTGCACATGCACAACCGTGTAGCTGCTGCTGAGAGGGAGGGCCTTTTAATCCATTTCTCCTCCTGCGGTTGAGATGATCCACCGGGAAGAAGAACATCCTCCAATATAGCTTTAATATCTTAGTTTTATAACTAATGGTGATGGTGTGAAACTTTACTTTGCATCATCTTGAAAAACTATTTATTTTGGTTTGTGGTGAACAACAGGTTGGGGCAGCACCGAGTCCCAGCATTACAGGCTTTTAGGAGGGGGGGCCTGGTTAGGGAATACAGCTTGGAATCCTGGGGTTCCGAGTTCAAGCCCCACTCCCACAGACTGCCACTCTGGGTCCCTGAGCCAGACCCTTAACCCCACACTGCTCCCTGGGCGCCGCACAATGGCAGCCCGCTGCTCCCCAAGGGGAGGGGTTACATGCAGAGTATTTGTGACAGGATAATGACAATAAAAACGCTCGATTCAGAAAGAAATTACTTTTCTGGATGAAACTAATTATTTTGATGTTTTTTTCTTTTTTAAATATCATTAGGCCATATAGAAAATGAGATTAAATGAAACAAAACTAAATAGTCTATTTTTAAAATGTAAGGAGTAAAAGTAAATAGTCTAGACAAATAATTACTCCAGTAAAGTACAGATGCCCAACATTTCTACCTAAACAAAGTGTATTTCTACCTTCTTACTTCTGTTTAAATGTGAGGAGAAGTTTAACTCCAGAAACGGTTCAACATCTTTGAAGGATAGAAAAAAAAAACTAGAGTAGAAAGAAAGTCTCATTAAATATGAACCAAAATGATCCATTTCCTATATGGCGGCTGGTTTGTTTCAGAGCAAAAGTCTTTCTCCCGTCTGAGATTGTGAAACATCAGACACTGTGGTTAGCCAGTCATGGCGGTTAGCATGTTTAGCGAGAGCTAAACTAGAAGCGGCTCTCTGTTCACAGGGGCCTCCCTGCGTTTCCTCTGGGATCTCTTCAATGTTCTCCACCAAGCACAGCTCCAGGTCCTCTGAATGTTTGGGCCAATCGGGTCTTTCTAATGCTTTCTGAGCAGGTGGCCGCAGTGACGACAGGTGATCTGTCAGATTATTATACCCATAGTCAAAACCTGTTTGTCTCTTTAGTTTTGTGTGAAAAATAAACTTTAAACCACCTCAAGAGGCGTGTACCCTTTAGTCATGTACATCTTGCACATGCGTATTGACTATGAGTTTGCTGATCTGAACACTGGGTCAGCAGGGAAATCCAGCAGATATATATAACAGCTCTATATATCCAATATGATGCCAATACCGACCAATTACGAGTCATACATACTTAGAGGCTACGTTCACCCTGCAGGCCTTAATGCCTGATTCCAATTCTTTTATGAAATCTGATTTATTCTTTTTTTTTTTTTGGGTTGCCGTTCTCATATTCAAATATATGCGACTTGTATGTGATCTCCTGCGTGAACTGCATTCCATAATTAGATAATATCCACTCTATATAAGACAATGCAATAGTTTTTTCTTCTGTTAAATGTAAATAGTATTATTTCATTGGCTAAATGTCTCACTTACCTTTTCAATTCAAGAGAAAAGGACTTATTTTAAGAAAAAATGACGTATTCAGATTTAAATTTTTTTGCAGTGCATCTGACCAATTTCCAGAATGGGAACCATGTCAGCTGCTACAGACTTAGTGACTGTAGAAGAGGAATCTGCAGACGGCCTCCTTAGCTCAGTTTCTAGAGATGTTATCTGACTTCTGCTCACTAAATGCATTTTAAAAATATTAATGAGTTTTAAAGTCGCCTCTTAAACTTGGTTGGTTAAAGTGTCCAAGACATTTCTGTGTCAGAGACATTTTAAATCTGCCTTAAAGTGACATTTTATATTGGCCTTAAAGGAATAGTACACCCAAAACATGATTAGCCTTCATTTTCTACTC